CCCCGCAGACCTCGCGGCGCGCCCCGCCGCCCAGACAGCCGGGCGCACCCCGCGTTCCCGCTCGGAAGTTCGCGGGGCGGCGTCGAGCAGGTCGGTGTTCTGCGCTTCCCCGCTGTAGGTCGGTGGACACCGGCGGCGAAGCGCCCCCAGACCGCCGTCCTCCAGATCCCCCAGTGTAGTGAAATACCGGGAGGGGGCTGGGGTCCAGCGTCACCTGCAGCCGCGCCTTTGCGAGCTTGGGGTTTTCCGCGGTGAAAGTGTGTCATTGAACGACCCAGGTGGGGCGGTGCTTGTTTGATGGGGGCTCTGCGAACAGCACCGTTCTTGGTTCTTCGAAGTTCCCAGTGTCGCGTGCCTTGATGACGAGTTCTCCAAATTGTGTAACTTTCCTTTTCTGTTGCTTCATAGGGCACTATGAACGAAGAGGAGCATTTTGTAAACATCGATTTGAATGACGACAACGTTTGCAGTGTTTGTAAACTGGGAACCGACAAAGAAACGCTCTCCTTCTGTCACATTTGTTTTGAGCTAAATATTGAGGGTAAGGACGCGACGCAGTTTTAATTTTATGCCGTGAACTTGATACGACTGCTTCATGCTGATGTGCTTTATGGGTTGTAAAGTAAAATTTCTGGAACGATTGGAAACTGCTGAGTGTGAAGTGTGGATGGAGATCTGTTAAAGATAAGTGTTTCTGGAAATGAAGATGGAGTTGACACAGGAATTTAATAGGACTTAAGAGAAGTAAATAATTATTTTAAATGCCCACAGTAGTAACCCCATTTTTGCTAATATAAAAATGAGGGATTGGTATTGCCGGTAGGTTTCCGGCTTGAGACCTAGGTTGTCAGATTCCCACTCGCTTCTGTGTGTTTCCATGTTCAGAACTGACAGCAGTTTATATTGCTGAGCAAATTTAATTTTATGCCCTTGGGCCTGCGGTGCTAGTACCTGAGATCACCACGAATTCTTCCCCTCTTACCCATTGTTCCCATCATCCGAACAAGTGTTCCTAAAATTTTATATACACCTTTAATGGATCACAAACACCTGTAGGAATTTTTAAAGGAAAAAAAGATTTTTAAAATTTTGCAACAGTGTCACCAAGTGTATGAAAAAATCTTAGGGAAGGTGTTTCGGTTGGTGGAAAGTTAGTGTCTACATCACGCTATCAATTGTTCGCTTCTAAGAAATGTGTGGGATGTATTTCCTTAATTTTGGTGTTGTCATACTAAAACTGATTCTTTTTAGATATTTATAAGTCACACTAAAAAGCTTAGTATCTCTATAACATAAAGTTGGCCTATATTTTGAACTTGGAGTTATATCAGTAGAGAGACTGTTAGATCTTCAGATTTGAGCAGTTTCTTAAAAATTTCTCATTCTCCTAGACATGTACATTTGAAAATTTTTATGATCTTTATTTTTTTATTATGAGACATGTTCTCACAGTGAGCACACACACATTACAGTGATACACCTTGAAATTCCTGTTAGGACTTGTTACTCAGAAATGTAGTTGCCAAGTCTTCTGTGATTGAGCATTGTGGATTTCTTTTGAGGTATATAAAACACTTACGCCTTGGCTCTGATGAGTATAGTAATTAAACTAATTTCAAAAGCGTGGCTTAAAGATGTGCTTTTTCTGGGGCATTTGAATTACCAGATTCTTAATCATGCTAGAGTGAAAGACCTAGATTTATTTTCTTTAGAGATAGAGTTGGCCTTGTTCATTCTGACAGGAGTAGAGTTTTACATTTAGATGGGCAAGGACATTTTGTCCAATGCAAACCTGGTATTGTACATGTAAGCAAACTGAAGCCTAGAGAGTTGGCGTGCTCAAGGTTGCTAGGGCGGTGATGGTAAGCTGCTGTTATGTGCTAGGCATTGTACTAAGCACCTTAGGTGGATTACCTTATTTAACTCAAAATAGCTCTGGTGCGACTGCTACTATTACTCACTTTAAATGCCATGGAACTAAACCTTAAGAAATGCACATTGAAATCATACAGACAGTAACTCACTATCCTGGGCTTTGAAACGCGGCCATACTATTGCAGCATATGTGATCTTAATTCCACTAATCTACTGACAATAGTTATTTTAATTGAAGGGCTGATAAAAACCTATACTCCTGCTTCTGAATTGATTCTTTCCTATTCATTTACATAACTTTTCCTAACCACTGCTTCCTGCTAAATCACCATTAATGGGGTTCGTGTTATAGAAACCTAAATTTTCATCATTGCTTTTACAAACTTTGTAAATACATCTTTTAACTGGTTCTCGATCATTGTATGAAGAATATACAACCTTCCTCTGGTAATATCTTTGTCAACACTTTAGCACTTGATATGGAAGCATGACATTCATCCTTTGTCTTTGAAATAATACAGTAGTGGTCTCTCAAAAGGCAGGAGCAGTTCTCAATTTGAATTAGAACAATTTACAATTCAAATGAGAACTATTTCGTTTAATATCTACATATATTCTAGGTTTTATATATTTAAATGCCAGTTTAACTTTTGTGAGAAAAACTAGAGCTAAATTTTTTTTCAGTGTATCTGGGCATCCATTCTCAGTTCTCACAAGTACATATTTCCATTGTTGCTACAGTGATAAGCTAGTACATTATAACTGTTGTATTTAATATCATAAGATTATTGTAGGAAAAAGGAAGGGAAAAGAGTACCCTGATTTCTACAAAATTACAGTTTTGTATCTGTACAGGTTTTTAAAGATCAACAGAAAAAAGTGACAGTTACATACCAGAAAAATTACAGGGTATATTCCTTGTTACTAGATCATTTTAAATGCTTTTGAAGTTTTCTTTCCAGTACCAAGTTCTCAATACAATGTCAGACAGTAAACTGGAATAAAAGGAAGTTCTAACAAATGACATTTAACTCTACTAGCTTGGTGTAATTTTCTTTGCGGTATGGTAATGTTGCTGTTGTCTAGTTTCAGGGCTTTCTAATTGCTAAATTTACTCCAAATTGTCCTGTTTTTATTTTGCAAAGAGGCTTAGTAAAAATAAATTCTCTTGAGGAGTAATAACATTTAGGCTAATTTTGAGTCCACACATTTGTAGTAAATACAAGGGATATTGTATACTTGTTGGATTGTTTATGTCAAAAGAACACTGGTCTCCTAATGAACTGGCCTCTTGTTTAAAAGCTGTGTGCGTGCATATGTTTATAAAACAAAGACAAAGGAAAAACGCCAAGTAACAAAAGACAGTCTAAGCTCCTTGGAAAGGTTTTGTATTCTGGACATTGCTCAGAGTTTTCTTTTTTCTGTGACTGCACAGAAGTTGAAAGGGATGCCTAACTTTTTTGTGTACTGCCAAGCCATCAGTGATACACTTTTAAGGACTAAGAAATGGACTTTGAAGAACTCAAATCTTTTTATATATTCACAAGGTTGACTTTTAAACTTATAATTCTTATAATTCACCATTAAAATAATGTGTATACTTCTAGGATGAAGAGACGGATGCATAAACTTCCTAATACCTATGGCCTAATAAGCTAGGCAGAAAGACACCACAGACTTTTTTGTACATGTTAATGACCAAATGCTCATCTGGTTCACTGTGATAAAATCTCTGAAGCTGTTTTGTGAACAGATCACTATCATTCCTAAGCTGAGACCCAGGAAGCCAACTCAGTGTGCTTAGGAGCCAGTAATGACAGTCACCTATAATGTCACAAAGTCAGAAAGGAGACTAGATGAGGGGCAGAGATAGGATTCCAGTACTGCTGCTTTAGACTTTATCTTCGTTTTGTGCCAAAAAATTCTGTAACTTGAGCTTACATCATTTCTACTTTCCTCTGATAATTAGCTTGTTTTCCATAGAGAAAACTTTCTTAGAAGACTGCACCAATTCCCATTTTACCAACCAAGGTGTTTGGTGGAGGTTGATGAGTAAGCATATACATAGCTGCTTCTGTGTAGTCTATTTTGGACTTCTTTCTCCTCTAATTCATTGTTCTTTCCAGGAAGCAGAAACAAATTCAGCTCTTTAGTAAATCTTTACAACAAGAAAATCTGTAGCTGTTATCTCTTAGTTAAGGCAGGTAAGTTTATTCTTCCTTGGTTCTTGCGTTTTTGACTATAACACTGTTCATGATCAGTAGCCAGGGACCAGTTTGAATCTTAGTGTTAAATCCTTGCTTTTGGTGATTTACTATTTAAGGTCTGTCACTTTTCCTCTGTGTCCAGCTGCTGACACATCTTTCTGCTTGTGTAAGTAAAGGGGTCCCCACTTGGGATGTGAAGACTTTAAATAGCAAACTGATGTTTACCTTTTTTTTTGTTTCCCATCCCATAATGGCATTCTGATCTTCATTATATTTGGAAATAAAGACTCAAGATTAAATTTTTGCCTTAGTGCACCATTACTGCCACTTTAAATAAATGTGAGTACTTTTTAAATGGCTGTACTGGTAAACATTATTAGGAGAGAAGGGGTAGGAGCGGACAGTGGGCCTAATTGATTATAAGTTTAAATTACACGGTATTTTTAAAAGTAATTGAAGTTAGGCCAACAACATCTGGTAAATGCTTGCAGTGTAACTAACAATCCATGTGTGAGGAGCCAGGTTCCAGATTCTTATCCCTCACCTCATTATAGTATCTTTTCTTTAGTTACTTGCAATTTTTCCTGCTGCTTAAATTTACTAGGCTGACTAATTTGGAAGTTTAGGGTAAATTTAAAGTTTAGATCAGACACAGCTTTGGATGTGAAGGTATATGTGTTAGGAATTATGTCTGACAATTTGTAGGAGGAAATCCAGGTATAATGGTGAAATGAAATGAGTGATACGTGTTATCTTTCAGAAGAAGCTGAGTTAGACAGTCAGAGTTGGTACGGAAGCTCCATGATCAGAAGGACCTAAGTTTCTGGGGTTTTGTTTTGTTTTGTTTTGTTTTGTTCTTCCACTTTCCCTAATATACAATTTGCTTTATCAAGGTCATCTCATGAACTAAGGTAGCTGCTGGAATGCCAGGTATTGCTTCCTTATTCCCAGGCAGAAAAAGAAAGGACATGTCAGCATTGCGTCTTACCCCTGAAAAGAACTTTACTTGAAGTCCTGTGTAATAATTTCCTATTCATGTTGCTGTCCTTATATTTAAAAGAATATATACTGCTAGAAACACAATCAGTACTTTACAAAGAAAAAAACAGTGGATATTGAGCAGGCAACTTGCAAAATGGGCTTCAGAGAGGCCCTTTTAGTACAGTTTACACTACATTGAAAGTTAACTATTTGAGTTATAATTAAGACCAACAGTAATGCTCTAATGAGTCTTGTAATCTTGGAGTTGGGACTGGAAGAGGTTGTAGCAAAATGAGGAATTGAGCTCCGAGGGTGGGCATGCAGCCAGATTGATTTCAAGTGGACTTGTTGCCAGAAAGCTGTAAGAATTCTCGGGTTTTTGCCCCTTGTCAGTACCTACAATGTAATGATAAATGCTTATACCCATAAAGCTGTTCCACAATATTTTTTATTCTGTTGGAAACTTGCATAATGAAGC